TAGAATAGCAATAGATTCGAAATTATAATTATAATAATGGAATAAACGAAATATACAAATAGAAAACAAACATAATTATTTTATCGCTAAAAAACTATCTTCTTAAACCAATAGACCGCTCCATCCAGAATTTTTGAATAGGGCACTCTATCCGATCGGAAATCATCTTCAGGATACTATTGGTATTTTTGCGCATTATGGCATAGAAATCGTCCGTTCTTGCTTCCGCGAATACATACCAGAGGCACAGTAGAAACGTGGCAGCCCCAGCAGCATTCTGAAGGCATTATACGTATAATTAACCCACAGGCCGCTCGAGTAAAATGATTGGCAATTTTATACAGGAGGCTTTTTTAAGTGTATCCATTTTTTTAAATTAAAATCTACACATAAACAATGTTATATAAAAATGATAAATATTTAAAATCACTCGTAATTAATTAATTACATTCATTTTAACTTATCTCAAAAAGTGCGTGATTTATGGGCAACTAATTAATTTTACGCGCGATCATTCATAACTAACACGCACATCATTGTCAACAAGTTCTGTTTTTTAGGGAATAGAATGGCAATTTTTTTTGGAAAAAAAGTTTGTTTTATTTCTTAAACAATTATAATACCGAGTCTGAACCTCCTGTGTGAATTTGGGCACCATTAGAAAAGCCACCCTGTATACCAGCAATGCGATAGGTTACTTGTTTTTCTGATGTCCTAGTACTGATGTCTTTTATTTTTAGCAGATTTTCTTTATTTTGCTCAACTTCCTTTTCATGTTGGCTGACGTTACTCATGGAAATCTGATTCTTGATGTAACTGTGTATATTGCATTTTCTTACTTTGGTGATGTGCAGCAGACAGCGTGTGTTTTTGAATTGAAAAACCAAAACTCATGGGGTGGGCACGGCCCATCCGGCCCCTCCGCTTTATACGCCTATGACAATAAGTATCTTCTTACTAAATTCTCTTGTCAACAACTTTAATTTTAACTTTAACTTTAATTTTAAGGATAATATTATTCTAAAGGGCAGTGTTTTTAAAAACATAAACAAAAAAAAAAAAGGAAGCGGATAAAATATAATACGTTTGAATTTAAATCATTTATTAAAGTTTAATATAAGTTAATAGTATACTAGATAAATTAAATATGTTATAAGATTACGATTTACTAAGATGTAGTGACTTGGACGTCTATTTTGAGTGTATATATATTACAACCATTGTATCTAGGCGTAACATTTAATACTTTTTGTCGCTTGGGAGGGGTGCATATAAGGACTACTTGCCAGCTAGTAACGGTTGATTTCATATCCTTTTATGTCTGAAGCTAGCGTGTACGCCAGCATAAAATACTGGTAGAGTTTATGAGATGTAAAGAGTTTATGAGAGGAAAAGTATGATTACTGGAAACAGAAGGCATTAAATTACAAGTAATCGCTGCGTGCTTATTTTGAGTTTTATCGACTTAATATTTGAATCAAAATTTAGACTTTTAATTGAATTTAAGGAAAAGGCAAACTTATATATAGACTTGGACTGTCAAGATCGCATTATTTATTGCAAAGAGAACCGTCTATGTTTAAACCGGTCGTAAATCGATGTATCATATCAGCTGTTATAGCTCTTATGTGATTATTGTTTGCAAAGTTCGTTACTTAAAATATCTCATGCCTTGTACGCTAACATGCATTTCCGACATCCGGATTAAAATTCTTCGTTTAAAGTTCAAATATAATTGATATTAATGTCACTTCCATATCGCTCGCCTTTCGATTGCGTACAGTCTTTATCGAGTGTAATTAAAAGTTGCTTTATGACTTGTTAGTCCTTTCAAAATGTTTTCAAGCGAACTCGTTGCGTTTTTTTATGTGTTTCGACTCGACGTAGTTTTAGTACACGGTTTAAATGATTTCAAATTACGACTCGGAGAAACTTTTTGCGCAGCTTCGAGGGTCCTCAGCCCACGTTGAAAAGTCACTCAAAAGCTTTTACCTGAAAGAAGTAAAGGTAAAGGTTTCAGATTTTTAATTTTAAAGAACCTGTTGTGATCTCATCATTGTTAAATTCGTTTAAATTAAGAATCTCGTTGTTTTTCAAATGAAACGTGATTTACCGGATTAAATTATTAAATAGGGTAGAGATACGAGATTGGAGATTAAGTTATTTTGATGATTGTTGATATTCTCCACTGCTAAAATATTTAAAGAAAAGTAGGCCTGTCTCAGCCTAATTGATGGAGATGTGGTTTAAACTGTCAAAATATTAGGTTTTATTGACAATAGAAACTTTCACATGATTCAGCAGGTAAAATGTCTTTCGTAATACTTGATTAGCCCGATGTGAATGTTGTGGCTAAACATTTGAATTACAAGATAGAGAAGGATTAAATATTGTGGAGACTTACTGACCTTTCATTGCAGATTTCTTGGTAATCTAATTAGATTTCAATTCTGCGTTTCTGCACTGAACAAATTGTTAATTTACGCGCACATAAATAAATATAGAAGAGTATTTCAGAGGTAAGGGAAGAAAAGTAGCACTGCCTGGCGAACTATAATGAAAAGCAACAAACAGAAAAGCTTCAAAGAACAACGTGAGCGATATAGAAGCACATTAAGGAAAAACAAAGAAACGGATATCATTAAAGAATACGACCGTCTCAAAGGGATTGCGTAGCAGAGAATGATTATAAAGTTAATATGATTGCGTGACACCGCTCTTAGTTCCGTAAATAAACTGAATCGATGAAATTTTTCTTGTGAATAATTTTCCGACAATTATTCTCGCCTTTACCTGATCGGCTTATCAATTTACTCGCATATATTTTCATTTTATATTTGGAATTGTGTAGTTCTCTTTTGTTTGTGTATATATGTACAAATGCAGCTTGAAACTTTAAAGGTGAAATAAAGGTTGCATCAATAGGTACAATATCAGATAGCACCAATTATTGGTACTTGAGAGAAATATACAAAATGGGAAACTTAACAGGGCATACAATTTCCAAGGCAATGGCACATTATGCACATTTCAATAAAGCTTTAATGGAAACGTTTACAGATTCCAAGTATTCTTTCCTGATGAAAATCTTAGCAGATAAAACAAATACAAGCTATACGTACAAAGTTTTGAGAGAATATCAAGGCTGAAACAAATTCGTCGAGTTGGTAAGGTGAATGTTCTAGTACATGCTTTTATCTCAATAATGCAGATTCGGAATGGAAAATCTACCTACGCATAAAGCGGCACCTTTGTGCCCGTAACTATAATAAATAAGCGAAAACAATTAACGATGGAGTCATTCGCAGCCTTCCAATTGCAGCGAGACAAGGAAATCGCAGTGTCGTTTATTATAAACACACCGTTGCCACCCGGGTAATGTCTTTGTCTTTATAAATACCGTCTGCTAATTAATAATCTGCATTAAAAAACGTTTTTCATCTGTTTTAAAATTTATCTGATATTTTAGCTGTTATATTTTTCTTGTTATTTTGCGATGGCATGGTGTGCATGCTGAGTTGCAGCTCATGTTATACACCAATATATTACCACACCATAGGAGATTTGAAGCACCAATCAACTAAACATTTCAATAGATAGCTAAAGAAAACTGTGTATGTAGGTACTCTTTGAGTATCATGTTGTCATTGTTTAAGCTATTACAGAAATTGTTGTATTAGTTACTAAGTTAAGAGGCCATTAAAATGTAATTAAAATGCTGACTGATAAATATAGTTTAATGTAATTCTTTGTACGGGTTCTGTAGGTTATAACGGTTGGTTTCTATCGTGATTTGCGTCAGCATCTCTTTCACAAAAGGAAAATTTAAATGATTTGTGCATGTGTTTGATATTTTACTGTTAATTCCTAAGGTTAATAATATGAAAAAAAAAAAACTAATGGAAGAAAATAATGGAAGGAACTGTTACGATCTTGTTGCTACAGAAGCATTAACAGTTGATAATAACACCTCTAAACAAATTTTTAATGGCACGACCTTAAGCTACGCTAAATGTATGAGGTCACAGCCAATAATCTGTCACGAGGAACCGTTAGTGCGGTGAGAATCCTCGATATCGAGAAATTGGAGTCGCACGGCAAAAACCTTATATGGGAATTGTTTTATGACAAAAGCATAGCATCCATTCTTTATTCCCATTAAAATGAGTATCTAATAAGTCATACGTATCTAAACACTAGTGCGATACTAGGCTAGCGCGTTTACCACGAAAGTCACACTAATTTATTGATGGTGGTCGAGCCATAGCTATAGTATGTTGTAATAACTATTAGATAATTAAGATGACAGTCGCGAGGTCCATTGATAATTTCGTCCGTGTCGCAGAGCCTACGCATCTTGTTTGTGTAAACAATGCGCGCACGCGCCGCTCTCTTGAAAGTTCGTCCGCAGGTACTACACTCACGGCGAGCAGGTCCCGCGACCTTGGGACCTGCACTGCGGATATTTCATCTGTTGATGTCCCCCACTCTACTCATTTTTTTCCCGCGGACATGCGCTTCGCTATTTTATTTTGAGCGAATCCATCTAAAGTACGACACTTAAACTAACTAACCCATCGATGTTTTTCACGACGTATTGTAATAATTGTAAAAAACGTATGATACTAAAAGTTGTAACAATGATGATGAGTTTTCTTGATGTCATTTTCTAATGTTATTTTCATTAGTCCTATTCAGGGTTGCATAATAAGGTTAAAAGATGCACGAAGATTAACCCCAATCTAAAACTTTTTCCGAAACTGTTTTTGTTAGAAATTTTAATTTTATGACCAGAATAATTGTTACAACATATAACACGTACTTATTTCGTACTATCAAACGAGTAAATTAAGACACATATGCTTTAACAGGTTGTAAATACGCACTACTAATTCATCACTGCTCTATACTACTCATTCAACATCATCGATGTTGTGGAAATTTTTACAAATATGCGTTTGAGCGTCTAACACTATATATTTCAAGCAGAGTAATTTTTATCGTTTCTGGAGCCAACAGACGCGCGTTACTCCAGAGCTGTGATAACGAGGATCGGACGTTGACAATTCCTGAGAGGGCAATAGGTGGCGCGGTACAAAGCTGAGCCGAGGGAGTGGTGGCTGCAGGCGGACGCCCGCGTCTCCGCTCAGTGTACGACCGCACGCCGCCAGTGTTGCGCGCACGCACAGACCGACCACGCACCCGGACCGATCAACCGACTGCCGCGTACCAGAACAGTGATGGTACGCGCGGGCACACAGACGCCCGTACCACTGGAGACCGTAGACGGTGTGATGCCGCACCGTCGCCAGTGACTGACAGACGCCGCGGCGACCGCGCTGCCGGACCCGACCCATGTACGCCCGTATCTCGCCCGTCTCTAACGAGATAACGTGATGTGACAACGATACGTTGACGTGCCAGTGCTATAGTTTTGTGAAAGTGTGCAGCGGTCGCGCTTAAGTTGGTTGCCGGCGCGGCCGGCGCCCCTCCCCCCTCGAAATGTTGAACTGCACGGACCTGGAGTGCATCCTGCACCACCACCACTATTACGCCCACCTGCATCACATACACCACCTGCAGAATGCGCAGGAATCAGGTAATGTAAACAATCCGCGCTATGGTCGCACCGCTTGCGTGAAAGCGTTGCGGAAGATATTTTAAACGACCTCTCTATTTCGATTCGATTGGATTTCCACTAAATTTGAAACATAAATATTTAAGGAAAGCATCAACAAGATCAGCAGAAATTTATTGGTCTCTACGTAATAGAGAATGGGGCAAATCGGCAGGAGCGAGGATATCGGTATGAAGACATCGGGCGTTCGAGTCGCCCGTGACCTTTCCGAACAATAAAAACACAAGACGGATTATTCGCGAGACTCTGAACGCCTGACGGCGATGTACGAACAGGTGTAAGCCGCTAACATCACGCAACGCGACTCGTTTTCACAAAACCAGCCCGACGGACGGCGCGAAGTCGATGCAACATTCGTACAAGCAAAACTGCGACGTGTTGTGCCTTACGAATCGTCAGGTTACGGTTTTTGTTTTATAATCTCAACCTCATTTGAATTACACCTGAAATTCGTACATCAAATGCGAATGTATGTCTCAGTACTAACTCTTACCGCCTTAGTTTGAATATCTTGCCGATATATTGGAAAGTGTTTTTTGTGGGCCACTTCGAATCGACTCAGTTGATTACAACGAGAAATTGGCATACACATGAAAGTTTGATTAGTTGTTGTTATTTAGAAATATATGTCGCCTTATTATTTGTGATGGGCTTCTATGCCTTATCTAAGTCTGTAGTCAAAAATCTTTCAAGATGTTTTCAAGATTGATTGTTTTTACAATCTTTCTTCAGCGAAACGCAAAGTGTTGTGGTTCGTGTTTTTTAGCATAACGAAACACGAATTAGGTCAGATAGCGCAATACTAACTCAAAAATCGTAAATTTACGAGCTAAACATTTTCCTATAGCAGAAAAATGGGAATGTTGTTTTAATTTCAACAATCATTGTTTTATCTATTGTTTTTCATTATAATAGTAGTTGATGAAATGACAATAAAGCTATTGAGTTTGCAGTCAGAACCGGCTTAATCAATAACAAAAACAAACATGTAGTCACAGCGTAAGAGAACAGTTTTCTTCGTAAACATTACATTAAAAACTCCATATGATCTTTTATTAAATCCAGGTTGATTTTTTTTCATTTCTGCGTCTAAAGTGGAATGAGGGGACTATAAACGGATTGTTGTCCAAACTATTATTTTATTCATTAACGTAATGATTTATTATCAAAGCAATCAGAATATTTAATTACAGTTTAGATAATATTGCTTGATTTAATAGGATATGTTCATATCATATACGCTCATTTGATTATGTATATACATATTAAAACATATTTTTCATTTTACGTGGAATGCAATCTAATTGCCTAAAGCTGTAAGGTATGCTATCAAAATAAATTTATAAGATCTAGTACGAAGCACTTTGTTTGTTTTATTGCTTTTATTTAACAGTTCCTTGTTATTTATGAGTCAAGAATCCGTGACTTTAATACGCATGGCGAACGGACGACATGTCTTCACTAGGCTGCGAGAATGCCAACGATAAGATAAATTCACTTAGAAAAACGTTCAGAGCACACGTGTACAAGAAAACGGGACAAAAATATAAAAATAAGATAACGCTATTGATTCTTTTGGTTCACTACACACATTAAAATCGCACTTAATTATCGTATTTTCAGTACTGACTCGAAACAGTGAAATAGTTACGCTGTTTCTGTCAATCCAAAAAAAACTAATTAAGATTTCTTTTTGTAATATAAACAGTTAGTGCCAGGATCGCCTCTGCTCGTTATTTCTTTAAATATATTATAAACTTTTAAAGAATATTTTTTAAACATAAACCAAAATAGGAATTTTATGTCAAGATACTAGTCTACTAATGACTTTATTCAATCTTCTACACAGAATATTAATTGAATGCAAATTAACTTTTTATCGGTCTAGTCTAACGCTAATAATGTATTGACATTGTTCGTGTTATTGTCTGTTGGTTTACAAATATTATTATGAATTACTAGCTGCTGCCCGCGACTACGTCTACGTAGAATAGACTGAAGGCGTAACATTCAGACAGAAAGACAGATACACATAAAAATATGTATATAAATTATAGCCTAATAGGTAAAGGTCAGGCTCGTAACCCATGGGACGCCGGTTAAAATCCTTATATCTGCGAAAAAACTTTTCGTCCATTGTTTTACAAATTATAAATTTTAAGCGACATTATTAAATAGATACAGATACAGACGTGAGAGCTCATTTTTCATACCGTACTTGATCAACCTGAGTTCGATTCCCGGTATTGACTGTAAAATTGTTAATTTTAAGTGCTCAGCGAAGAAATCTGCTTATTTTCGAAATAATAACGAAAAAAAATATTTCGAAAGTAGATATGTGAATTCCGCCAATCCGCAGTGGGGTCTTGTGGTGGATTATGCCCTACTCTCTGTACAGACGAGACCTCTGCCCAGCTGTGGGACGTTTAGAAGCCTTTGCTTTATTTCTTTAATTATTAAAAGGAAATATACAAAAAAGAAATGTAGGTAACGGTATTACATGCTTACTTTTTAGGTCTTTCTAACTTTTTCGTTTCGAAATCGACAGCGTATTCGTCTGTTGGCAAGGGAAGTGGACTATTATGGCATTGGTGTACAAAATATTGGCAATAAGGAAACTGTTTACGGCCTCTCCGTTCGACGCGACGTTTGAATTGGCCACGATTACGTGAATTGTAAATAACCGCAGATGTGGAACGAGCGAATAACCAAAGGAGAATGTTGCTAACATCTTCTATTTGAGCTGGGCGGTGTTTTAAAATCATAAAACCAGTATTATGGGTTTGTTCTTAGCATATCTGCAACGATGTTCGGATTTAAATGATACCGTTGGGGCTGTAATTCGATATTTACGTAATTACGTCTTTAATTGGCTGCGATGACATATCTTTACATACCTATGTAATAGTATAAAACAAAGGCGCTTCAGCTGTTTTTTGTTTTTTTTAATCACGCAATGGATTTTAATGCAGCTATCAGCAATAGATAAAGTGATTCAAGAGGAAGGCAAAGCTCGGTCCTCCAGGTACTGTAGTATAAGTGCATATCGTAGTAGAGGAATTAAAAGATCTATTGTGATGTAGTTACAAATATATTTATGGTATTTACATTGCAAACGCTGGCTAAACCTTACGAGATAGATCAAATCAAGATCAAGCCAAGTATAGTGTAGACTATTCATAATCACATTAGTATCTACATTGCATGTCAGGACCGCACACATTGCTTGCACGGGCGAAGCCGTGGCGGGTTGCTAGTTATGCTTATAATATGTAGTTACAGTTATTTAGCAAAACATTTGTTTTTGTCATGTTTTTAATGATTTCTTATATTTATGCGAATAGGTACCACACATTTAAATAAAACGATTTTTCGGATTTAATTTTGTCTTTAAACACTCGATGTTTTAAACATTTTCATAATTTTCGAAGAGTTTACACGGACTGTAGTTATTTTGTTGATTAAGTATTTTTTTCCTGTATACGCATAGATCCAATCTACGCATAGCACTTTCATCCTCATCTCCTCATCTCTTGTGAAAAACATAAATACTACTCAATAAACAATGCGCCGAAGATTCCGCCCGATAACGATCCCTTTAGATTTTATGTATACTAAATGCGAGTAGGCCCGTCTTCCTACCTACAAGTCTGCAGAGACGCTGTTTACCGGTAACAGCCCAAACCAGTATGTAATTTCTGAATTTTTCATTTCTGACTCAACAATCATTTCCAGCATTGCTCAAATTGGGTATTTTAGTATTTGTTCTGGTTGCAGTATTGTGACCTTTTCCGTGAACATACGCAGATGTAACACTATACAGTAGAACCGATGCTGCTTGAATTGCGTTTGTGCGATGTGTTTTTAAAATCGGAACAGGACGTAATTAATCCAAGGCAGGCATCGAGATATAATTGAATCGAATTGTAATTAATTATCACTTTTAGTAGTACCTACGTTACATATGTTTGCTAACTATAAATAAATTGGTGTATCGTCTGTAAATGTTTGGTTATATTTGGTTTTGGCAAAGCCTGAATGCATTTTTAAATTCTTTATAAGTGAACAATACTGGAACCCAGAGGAAAAGGGGAGTGCACGTTTTAATCACAGTTACTACTTTGTCATCCTTTGATGTTCCCTGGTTGATTTTCTTATAATTATTGTTTATAATAACCTAATGTTAGTTCAATGACTTATTATCGTTTAGTACTGTTGCAAACTATTCTAGGACAGTGACCTGCGCTATCTTTTGTTAGCGTAAGTTTTACCCTGTTCTGCTACTATAAAGCTATTTGTTTCTTTGTCAATTATTTCCGTTAATTGCAGCTGTTAATATTTCATTATATATAAAGTTAAATAATTTTCTTGTTTTCTTAACAAGCTGTAGTCTGCCGCTTCGCTCGCGTGATTACGTAGATTATTCACCTACGGGATTAAATACCTATGCTACTGGAAACATTACTTTTTGTTAATGTGTAAATTTAGTACTACGATACAATATATATATATATGTATATATATATATATATATATATATATATATATATATATATATATATATATATATATATTTATATACATTTATATATATATGTATCCTAAGTGAATACCGCCGCCCATGGACATCTATAACACCTGAGGGATTGCAGATGCGTTGACAACCTTTAAAAATCTGAGCGACGGTAACCTCACTCATTAGACGAAACACAGAGTTGTCTTACTTCCAGTTCACGCCGGTCTTCTGCGGGGCCGTTGTGTTTCCCCGTTTATTACATTGATGTTAAAAGAACAACGAATTTATCAGAAGTGTTTGGCATAGCTACGTTGTTCTATTCAATTACATTCTTTATCTGCATTAAAAAGAGCTAATTCGATAATGTGCATATACTAGTGTTTGTATTGTAAGCGTTTCTAGATATGTCGAGTGAGAGACCATAAATAGAGATACATTCAATAAATTCTCACAAGTAATAACTTATCATTTTCCCTGTTTCTTTTATCCTATTTTATCACTCGATTCTTAGAAATGCATTGCTCGTATTGCCGATCTGGCCTGCAGATATGCTTAATTATTTGACATGTTTAATAAAGCAACTTGTTTTCTAACATCAATTTGCATATTCAGTAAGCACGCAAGGTTAAGTTACTTAGCGTCACGAATAATTCGATTCTTGCAAATCTCCTTTGGTTCGCCGT